GGGAAGTAAACAGGATGTCTTCAGCTCCTAAACTGCTGGTAGGACATAACAAGTTATTTGAGGCAGGTTTTATATCCAATATGAGAATCAATATCTTCACAGATTTTGGATATCAAATTGTTGTGTATCGAATATCTTTACCTGGTTTATAAGACAATCTGTGGTTTTCCAAACTGTTCTAGCCATTCTTTGCTCTGTAACCCATTTAGTCATTAAATCCACAATAGTGATGATTACCTATCAAAAACCTAAACCTCTTTTTGATAAAAAACCGGCCATGGTCAACCGTACAAATCAATTTGCTATTATCTATGATTACATGATTGTTTGAATTATGATAATCGAAAGATTAGAAATACACAAATGTGCATACAGTACTAAAATTGGTCAGAATATTGCAATAAAGTCATTTCCATTATAGTTCTGGAGTCTAGGCTAGGAGGCAGGCAGGAGATCTAATAATAATCTCTTATTCTTACACTTACAGTATAAATACATAAAAACCTCAGTATTGTACCAACAAATTCAAAAACACACGCCGAAAAAACAAAAAGGGCCCCTTTAAACAACCCCATGTGAAAGTCAAAGTAAAGTGGATAGAAGCACATTTCTCTATAGTGGTGAGGAGAGATGGAATAAAATGCCAAACTAAATGTAATGCCCATTGTTTATAATATTATAGTAAAAGATAATTTCATGGTTAGTTCTAAGCTTTGGGCTTGTTTTCCAAAGGGGTTTCCTGTAGTGTGTTATATAGGTTTTAGTGCATGTAAATGGTCTGCAAAGGCTGAAATCAGAAAGTTGCCTCCAGAGGGAGTTTCTCTCCTACACTGAACTCCTTTGTTTACTTCTGTAACATAGTGACATCACTATGTAACCATAGGCGGAGTTTGACATTTGCGCTTGGGGGGGCAAACCTTTTTTACTGACGTCAGTACACAGTCCCAACTATTGCGTGGGGTTCTACGGATACAGTAGCAATAAAACCAGCGTTCACCGCACTGAGTATGACTTTTCCACATACGAACACAACTCGTCTCGTCATGCACGCCTCATGCCCGCCGTACACACACACTCATATGGAAGGGGCGGTCTCTCCCCCCAACAACAGTGCATTACATCTGTAAAACTTATCATAACTGTGCACATCTTATACTTATTTGATAACTACTATATCCCTTGGTTACTTGAACACGCTACAATATTATTAACCAGTGTCCTACTTAGTGCAGCAGTAGACGCCTTAAACGTCCCAGAAATTGGACGTTTTAAAAATCGCCGCATATCTTATTGTAATACAATAGCTGAAGCACTTGTACAGGGTTCATACACTTTTTCACCGATGATTTTCAATGACTTTTCCAAGACTTCTCAATGACCTTTACCTAATTTTCCATGACCAAAAAAAAATTACCACTGAAAATGCTTTATTTGAACATGGAACAGGAAAATAAGGTCTGCATATGAAACATGTAGTGCCTAATGCCTATCTAAAACAAATCAAATAGTAGGCTTACTAGCTTCTACACGCTGAAGCAACTGTAGTCAGGGAGGCAAACTCATCAGGTATGAAAAAGGTGACAAGGATCCGAGCCCCCGACCCCACGGAATATCGGCTTTAAATGAGGAATAACAGATGATTTTAGCAGTCAGAACAACTAAAGCAGCAGTATCAATAATAACAGAAACGTTAAAGAGTCCCATCTAATAGAAATATATAAAAGCATTTATTTAATTGTGTAGCAGTCAGTTTATCATTTTGGCAGCACTGTTGAGCATTTTGAAAATGTATTTTCATGCCTCTGTGCAAGGTTTAGTCTTTCTATCTGTATAGCCACTGGTGTGAAGTAACTAAGTTCATAAACTCAACAAGTACTATACGTGGGTACAATTTTTAGATACTTGTACTTTATTTAAGTATTTCAATGTTTTGCTACTGTGTACTCCACTACAGTTCAGAGGTAAATGGTGTACTTTTCCTCCACTACATGTATTTAATACCTTTAGTTACTTCACAGATCTGGATGAATGATGGTAAATCTAATTAAGTGTTAAATCAGACTTTAGTTCCACCTGGAGTAAATCCACCAGCTACCCTGCAGTATACAAAGTCATTCAAACTAGCTGCACCTTTACCAGCTTTGAGAACACTTTAATGATCAATCATTATAAAACATATCATATATATTATTCTGAAATGGACCAATCTGCACAACGACTACTTTTACTGTCGCTACTTTCACTATATTTTGATGAGAATACTTTTCTACTTTTACTTGAGGAACATTTTGAATGCAGGACTTTTACTGTAACAGACACTCTGGTACTTCTACTTTTACTCAAGTACAAGATCTGAGTACTATACTTTAATTAAGTATAAGATCTGAGTACTTCTACTAAAGTACAAGATCTGAGTACTTCTACTTTTACTCAAGTACACGATCTGAGTACTATACTTTTATTAAACTACAAGATCTGAGTAGGCTACTTTCTACTAACGTACAAGATCTGAGTAGGCTACTTTCTACTAAAGTACAAGATCTGAGTACTTCTACTTTTACTCAAGTACAAGATCTGAGTACTTCTACTAAAGTACAAGATCTGAGTACTTCTACTTTTACTCTAGCACACGATCTGAGTACTATACTTTTATTAAACTACAAGATCTGAGTAGGCTACTTTCTACTAACGTACAAGATCTGAGTAGGCTACTTTCTACTAAAGTACAAGATCTGAGTACTTCTACTTTTACTCAAGTACAAGATCTGAGTACTTCTACTAAAGTACAAGATCTGAGTACTTCTACTAAACTACAAGATCTGAGTACTTCTACTTTTACTCTAGCACAATATCTATACTTATACCACCTCTGTTTATAGCCTATGAACAAAACTATTAGAAAACGAAGGCTAAAGCTAACGTTAGCAGATAGTGACAATGTATGCTAACTAGCTAGCTCAACGATTCCTTAAATGATGTTGCGACAGAAAAACGTTTCAGTTCACATCACGCTCTGCCGCTCAGCTCTGAACACCTGAACGGCTCGTTCTAACAGCTGTTCACCAGCGGTGCAGTCTGTGCCACAGTGACTCCGCACAGTTAACGAACTCACCGTAGATAATGTAGCTGACCCGGAGCAGCAGAGTTCAGCCGGCCCGACAGCACACTCGAGCACACAACTCGCGCTTCATATATTAAAAAATAACACCATGCGCGTCATGATGGCACATAACAGCTTGAGACCGCAGATTATTTCGGCAATTAGATAAAATGTAAATTATATTTGACGCAACTTTAGTTACATTTCCATGACTTTTCCAAAACTTTGAGAAAAATATTGTTTTCCATAACTTTTTCAGGGCCTGGAATTTGCATTTTGAATTTCCATGACTTTTCCAGGTTTTCAATGACCGTACGAACCCTGTTTATATGTAAAAAAAAAGCAAGGAAACTTGGTGGGCCGGAACCTCAGACGGCACACACACACACACACACACACACACACACACACACACACACACACACACACACACACACACACACACACACACACACACCACACACACACACACACACACACACACACACACACAGCACACACACACACACACACACACACACACACACACACACACACACATCACACACACACACACACACACACACACACTACACACACACACACACACACCACACACACATCACACACACACACACACACACACACACACTACACACACACACACACACACACACACACACACACACACACACCACAACACACACACACACACCACCACACACCCACAACACACACACACACGTCACAACATGCGACTGCTCAAAAATGAAATTATTTCAAACAAAATATGATATTATTCAGATTTGTATTGTAACAATCATTATATTACATCTATTAAAATATTGATATACGAAATATTTGTATTGGAACAGTTTTAGAAGTAGTAATGCTGTAACATATTTCAGCCACTAGGGGGGGCAATACCCCCCCTGCCCCCCCCCCGCAAAATCCGCCTATGTATGTAACACGTGTGCTTCTATTTGCTAGCGCACATAGTATGTGATAGGCTAAGGGGCAGGACATCTCAAAAAACAATCACAGTAGAGCCAGCCAGCTAAAAAGAGGTGCTGCAGCTCAGGGAGTAGGAGAAAAATAAAACACTTTTTGAACATTAAATCATGTAAACATGTCGCAGTAGAGGAACAAAATACTGAAATATAAAACCTTAAAATTATCATAACAAGACCCCTTTAGGTTTAGATAAATTAACCCTCGTTTTAAGGCCATGAGAGTCCAACACATACTCAAAATAGCCGGTAAAAGGGTTCGAACAAAAATATTTGTAACGATATTGAGGTATTTGGTCAATCATGTTAGAATATATGGTTTCCTGCATAATACTCAGCACTAATTTGACCACATATTGTAATATTTTTACATTAATCATTCCTCATATGCCAAACAATTGATTGGTTCACCGGGAAACTAATGCAGATAATTGTAACTTGCAGCCCTGATCAGATGCCCCTTGTGTTGGTGTGCTTTTTCTTCTGCTCCCTGCACAGAGGGACACTGTTATCTGACCTGATGACTGTCACTGTGATTCACAGCTGAAGGGAGACACTGACCAGATGCAATCCTGAGAGCTGTTATCACAAAGCACAGCTCAGGTTAGAGCATGCATGAAGGGGGAGTGTGGTGGAGTACACCTTTAGCCTACAGTGTGTAGATAAGGTGGCCAGAAAGAGTAATAAAACACTCTTCTTTCCCGTATGAAAAGGTATGCAGGGAGCAAGGAGTTGCGAAATCATCTGGCTGAAGCCTTTTTTTACTCCGCAAGATTACTTAGCCCAGGCCTGCCGTGGAAAAGTACACATTGTGTCGACGAAAACAAAAGCGGTTCTCTTAAGGGATGGTTTTTGTTTTAGTAACGACTTCTCCCAGAGGGCTCTACTTCTTGTGTCAGCTGTCAACTTACCCACAGATCTGTTCCCCAGTCCATGTCCGCACAATTCAGATGTTTGAGGAAAGGAAGTAGGAGTCCGTGTTAAAAGAGAAACAACCAGGTGGTGTCGGAGGTGGAAAAACCAGATAATAAAAAAATCTCCTCTCGCTACAAACGATTCCACAAAATGCTCGAAAGCGGAGATGGCGGAGGAAATGTTTGGAGGAAGTTTACGCCTTCTCCTTTGGCACGGACACGGCCGTCCTGTTTCTTCAGAGAGAAAATATGTTCAGGCGCTTTTTCCTGAAACAAGTTTGGGTCCCAGAGAGAGAGAGAGAGAGAGAGAGAGAGCGAGAGAGAGAGAGAACAAAAACCCAGAGAGGGGGAGAAGGGTAGAGGGGGAGGGAGGAGCTGTGGGAAACCCATCCCACAGCTCCTCTGCTTGTTTGCATCTTAAAGAAGCAGCTTGATGCCATTTTCTGTTTCAAATATCTTTATTAAGAAAGATACACATATATATATATATATATATATATATATATATATATAATACAGCCATAGTGCAGTATGTGCGGTGGATATCATGCTTCTCTTTTTTCAACATGACATGACAGGAACACCAACCAACCTATATAGTCATAATGGGAAAAAGAATCCTTAAATAAAAATAATTATAATAACTAAAACACATAGGTTAAGAGAAAAAGGAAAAGAAACGAACAATCATTAAAAAAAAAAAAGTATAAATATATATAATAAAAAAAATAAGACCTAAAGGTTGATTTTATTATCTATCATAAATGTTACTGAGTCCATTAAATAAACACACCTTGTTATTGTCATGCAGTAAAACGGGAATACAATGTAACATAATATTGAACCTGAGATAATAAAGTAAAATAAATCATTATACACTGGATAAATCAAACAACTTGTAAAAAGATTACAGGTACTATTGTGTGTGTGTGTGTGTGTGTGTGTGTGTGTGTGTGTGTGTGTGTGTGTGTGTGTGGTGTGTGTGTGTGTGTGTGTGTGTGTGTGTGGTGTGTGTGTGTGTGTGTGTGGTGTGTGTGTGTGTGTTGGGCAATAACTTTCAGTTGGTCTACTAAAAAGTGATGTCTTATTATTATTATTATGGAAGTCCTAAATGTTGTCCTTCTCAAAAATACAATTTTATTTGTATTATTGTAGAATAAAAACTCTCTTCAGGCAGCTCAAACCCTCAAATTCAGAGTGTCCACGAAAGGTGTGCTGTTTCTCTCTCTCTCTCTGTGTGTGTGTGTGTGTGTGTGTGTGTGTGTGTGTGTGTGGTGTGTGTGTGTGTGTGTGTGTGTGTGTGTGTGTGTGTGTGTGTGTGTGTGTGTGTCTGATATATTCCAATAAATATTGCCATACATCATTTTTGATATTTAAGGATACATCAAGTTTGTCAGCTGGCGCCGCCAACAGGTGAATAATTTCCCCTCATTCAATGAAATATCTTAAGATCTAGATTATACTGTATCTAGTACGTCCTCTTCTTCATGCAGCGCCACCTGATGATCACTCCCTATTTGTCAGATGACGTCATCATACCTGTGGAGACACACCTTTCCTCCAATGAAGTCTAATCCGTTTGTGCAACACAAGGGCGCCACCGTGTGTTGAGATGACGCACATCCTGTATGATATTAAGCAGAATGCCCGAGAATAGCTTGTCTCAAATACAGCCCAGATATATAAGCAGATTTTTAATTTTCTCTATAGTGTTGTTTTTAAAATGTTCTTCTTCTATACTCCACAATATTTTAGAATGAATAGATAGATAGTGAATACTATACCTCATTACATTTATTGTCTGCTCTAGAAGTTAAGATTTCTACAATAGAAAACAGAACGATTTATAAAATATGATGCTTTGTTATAAATTGAAATAGCCTACCTAACGTTACAACAAGTGAAACGATGAATCAATGAATGAATTAGTTGTTTGACAGGAAATCTAGTAACGGCAGAAAATACACTTGCACAATTCAAGGCATACTGCTAAATGAAACAATGTGTGACTCATAGCAAAATATTTCATGTTGAGCACAGAGAAGGTTCAAGTATTGAGTTTGCCAACATATATAAATAATATAAAGAAATGCACCTTCCCCCCAAATGCACTTCATCAGTCCAGATGACTTTGGGCTGCTGTAGCTGTTGGGATGCAGGTACTGTTGTATTGCATGACATTCCTTCGCATTCCTCTTTGGCCTACCGATTGAATTATTGTATTATCCAAAGGAGATGAATTCACCTTTGAATAAATTCAGACTCTCATAGGAGCTTGCCTCTAAATGCTCACAGCCCATGAAGTCTCTGAAATAAAAGTTCTGCTGTGATTGTTAATGGGGAAGCCTGACATGCTGGTCCAGTGCATTGTGGTTAGTGCTCAGGTAAAACTTCAGTACATTTTAAACAGGTAAGCCACCGTCTTTTGAGTCACAACATTATTCAGATCTTCTATATCAGCATCTTCAGAGTTTTCTGTTCAATTTCATTGGTTGTGCTCAGGTAAAACTTTAGTGTTGTGTACACTCAACAAGCATAACATTCTGAGCTAGGAAGATTTAATAAAATATAGGAACATCATTCTGGTGTTTAAAATCCTACACAATACAGCCCCTCCACCTCTTAACTCATTAGTTACTCAACGTTAACAATTCCAGCCTGACCACTGTAATAAGTTCCATTCAGGAAAAGTACTTTTGGTCAAAACTTGAACTGTCTACCCACACATATTAAAGACATGCATACACCACCACTTTACAGCTCACTTAAAAACATGGTTCACTGATAGCTACACCTGCACACACTAGTCTATGTTGGATATGGTGTGTGTGTGTGTTATATATAATGATCATGGATGTTGCCCCCCATTTCTATTAACCGTTGCACTGCATGACCTACCAGACCTCCCTTTTGCCTTTGCACACCTCTTTGGCCTATACTGAAGTCAATGCACATTGCTTATCCAACAAGGGGATATCCAGAGTTGTTTGTTTCTTTTCATTGTTTGTGCTCAGGTCAAACTTTGATGTATCGGCACACTTAAGCAGCCAATCATTTGAAGATATAATGTCCTCTTTGCCTTTCAAAAAGACACTTGTGGTATTATCAGTATCTAATTTCACCAGCACCTCTACGTTCTGAAGTGGTTGAGGCCCAGTAGAATTATTATTATATTCAGTCATAGAAAAACTTAGTTTGAGCATATAGTTCATTGGCAACAATATATGTTTTATACACACACACACACACACACACACACACACACACACACACACACACACACACACACACACACACACACACACACACACACACACACACACACACACACACACACACACACACACACACACACACACACACACACAACACACACACACACACACACACACACACACACACACACACACACACACACACACACACACACACACACACACACACACACACACACACACACACACACACACACACACTTACTGGGCTCCACAAGAGGAATGACTTTAAAGCTAACTTTCATCAGTTTTTTACTTAATTTTATTTAATTATTGATAATTCCCTTATATACAACTACAGCCATTCCTTGATTTATAAAGAAACTGTTGTATCCGACTGAAGCATTAACTGTATTTTTATTTAACAAGCTTATCTGTGTTGGTTGAAGATAGTAACACCTGGCATTAAAAACACACACACTTTCATTGTTTGCCTGACAGGAATATCATAGTTCGGTAAACAAGAATGAACAATTTGAAAGAATTCAAAACACAGTTGCAGCTACATCATTGTTTCTATTGATTCGTAAAGAAAAGGTTTAATCTCACTGTAGCATTTACTATATAATTATTCAACAACAGTATCAGTGTATGATGGAAGTATAATATATATATGTATGTGGCATTGAAACAAGAATTTCATTTTTAGCCTAACAGGAAAATCATAGTTCGGTGAACACGAAGGTCCAAGTTGTCTGAAATCTTGTATAAACTTGAAAACCTTAATAAAGTCAACAATAAAAGTGTACAGCTAATCAGGTTATTTAGTGCATGCACATGCAGAGACTGATCTGATCTTCATGGCAAAGGTCTTCATGCCATAGTTCTTGCCCCTCCACGAATTCCAGAAAATGCCTGTCGCCACAAGCCCTGGAGGTGCGTACAGACCGGTGGGGTTGGCTAGATGGCATGCGTTGTACCAGAATGCACCGAGATAAGTCTTAGCGCAGTTAAGCGACCACCTGTCCTGATCTCTGTCAAACGTTGTGAACTTCATGTTGTTGTGGTATGTCAAACTGTCCCCTAGAAATAAAAATAAAAACAAACAAACTTAAAACCCAGAAACACTTATTTTAATGCCAATGTGTGTCAGTGGGTAATATATTTTATTTTATGTTTCTATAAATGACAAAAAACAATAGGTACAGCACATATGCCTCTTAAATAGTGGTAGAATGTAACAGGGCACATTTGTATTGAAGTAGAATATTAAGGTATTTCTATTTTATGTAATTTAATATTACATTTCTCACACGTCCAAATTGCAACACTTAAGTCCCCAGAAATACCCACCAAGTGTCACCAGACCAACCTTTCCTCAAACTATTTTTCATTACATTTTTAACAAATAATATATATAGAGAGGACATATTATGCTAGTTTTCAGGTTCATATTTGTATTTTGTGTCTCTTATTTGACTGTGACATGCTTTAATGTTCAAAAAGCTCTTTATTTTTCACAAACTGCCTGTGCTGCAGCACCTTTGTTCACCCTCTGTCTGAAACCAGAGCCCAGTCTGCTCTGATTGGTCAGCTGACCAGCTCTGTTGTGATTTGTCAACCGCTTAGAGATACCCCGCCCCTTAGCCTATCGCGTAAGATGCGTTGGAAAGCTAGACAATACAAACAAGAGTGTTTCGTAGTGATGTCACTATGTTACGGAAGTAAACAAAGGAGTCCAATGGAGGCGTTTAAGACATGGGGGGAGTGTGGGAGAGAAACTCCCTCTGGAGGGAGCTTTGGGAATTTAGCCCAGACCATTTACATGCACAAAAACCTATATAACACTACAGGGAAGGGGAACCCCCCCCAAACAAATATGAGGGCCTCTTTAAACCTACATTTCCCAAAGTAATATGCACACAGTAATTCTTACCTGCGTTTCCGTCAGTGAATCTGCCCAGGTGAAGCTGATAACCGTCAACCTCAGAATCGATGGTGAAGGAGGAGTAATTGGCGTACCTTTTCCCCCCCTCCCAGTCCTCCATGTCGACCCGCAGCCCGTTCTCCTTCCTCACAGTCAGCAGGAGGATGT